GCCTCTAGCCAGGGTCAACCCACCACAGGGTCTCCAAGATCAGCCAAGATCTTGTGGGACTAGGTGAACCTCATGAGGTTCGACAAGGCCAAATGCAGGGTCCTGCACCTAAGTCGGGACAATCTTCATTATCAGTACAGGCTGGGTGATGATGTGCTGGAAAGCAGCCCTGAGGAAAAGGACTTGGGGGTAGTAGGTGGATGAAAAGCTGGACATGACCTACCAATGTGCATCTGCAGCCCAGAAGGCCAACTGCATCCTGGGCTGCATCAAAAGAAGTGTTGCCAGCAGGTTGAGAGAACTGATTCAATCCCTCTGCTCTGGTGAGACCTCACCTGATATACTGTGGCCAGTTTTGGAGCCCTCAACACGAGAAGGATGTGTAACTGTTGGAGCATGTCCAGAGGAGGGACACAAAAGTGATCCAAGGGCTGGAGCACCTCTTCTATGAAGACAGGCTGAGAGTTGGGGTTGTTCAGCCTGGAGAACTGAAGACTTTGAGGAGACCTTATAGCAGCCTTCCAGTACCTGAAAGGTGCCTCTAAGAAAGCTGGGGAAGAAGTGTTCACAAGGGCATGTAGCAATAGGATGAGGGGTTATGGTTTTAAACTATGGTTTAAAAGGGTCGATTTAGGTTGGGTATTAGGAAGAAGTTCTTCAATATGAGAGTGGTAGATCATTGGAACAGGTTGCCCAGAGAGGTAGTGAAGGCCCCATCCCTGGAGATATTCAAGGTGAGGCTTGATAGGGCTTTAAGCAACCTGCTCTAGTAAAGATGTCCCTGCTCTATAAAGATGTCCCTGCAGGGGACTCGGACTAGATGACCTTTGGAGGTCCCTTCCCACCCAATACATTCTATGATTCCATGTAGAGACCCTCACCTCTGTTGCAGTTGTTATCCCGCAACGTCCCGTCCGGTCGAGGAGGCACAGAGACAAACACTCACCCCGTCTCTGGGCCAATGAGCACTGACACCAATATGAGGATGCTGCAAATGGCGTTTAATGCTGTGCGACACAGTACTATATGGTGTGGGTTCACTACGTCACTTCCGCCTGCTTACATCACAGGCTAAGTGCTATTGGCTACTAGGAGAGAGAGAGGGGTGTCTTGCCTTTCCGTACAGCGCGATATCTTCCGGTCGCCAGACCCTATCTTACTACACACCTCCAGCTGAATCCCTTCTCCTGGGACATACTGCAAAGCACACTCATGGAAGGGTTTCTGGGAAAGGGAATGCTGGGGGTCTCTGGTCCAGCCTCCCACTACAAGAGAAGATATCACCAACTCCAGCGTTAGGCTGATCTTGACATTGTGATGCTGAATCTGAAAACTTCCAAAGATAGACATGACAGAGTCTCTGGGTGTCCTGCTGCTGCAGGGCAGCATCATCCATGTACTCAGTTTTTCCTCATTGCCCAGTGTGAAACTCCCAGGAAGAAGTCTGTGGCTCTTGCCTCTGCCATACCATCTGCCACTGTAGCAGAGTATGACTCCATCACTTGTCCAGGCAGGTGTCACCTACTTTTAAACTGCTCTGTGCCTCCCATTCAGCAGACTAGAGAAACCCAGTTCCCTCTACCTCTCCACACATCTCATGTGCTCCTAACCCCATCACCACAGAATTCCTCTGGACCTCCTCCGGTTTCTGCATCCTCTTTTCAAAATGGGAAACCCACTGGCTCATGTGGCATCCATCATCACTCCCACCCCCTGCTTCTCAGGACTGTCCACAGCTGCTCACATCATAGCTTGTCCTACTGCAAAAGCTTGTTCTGCTTCCAGAATATTCTGTCAAGATCCTTTTTGACTGAGACTCCAACGTGGCAGCATTTAAAGCTGGTGAAGCAGTGCCTCAAACAAGATAACAATATGGGGAATTGGAGGACACCACAGGTAAAGCAAGAAAATTGTGTGCTTGATGGATTTCCTACCCCAAATAGAAAACACCAAAACAACCATCTCAGATGTACAGAAAGAGAGTACAAAACAAGTAACGCATGGCCAGTGAGGGGAGGATAAACAGCATAGGCTGTTCTTTTTGGGGAGTGTTGCAAGCACAAAAGACAAGATCTTGTCTGGGTGGAATATAAAGAGAAGCAAATGATGTGGTCAAGGCTGTTTGAGGGCACCTGTGAAGCAGCCCTGTCTCTCAGGTAAAATATTTCTGTGGTCAGGAAGAACCTGAGAGTTTTCTCTAATGAGAAAACTTGAAGGGGAATTTGAAAACATGAAGGGGAAGGAAGAACAGCACCATTCAGGCTGCAAGACACCTCAGGAGGTTTCTTGACCAACTTCCTGCTCAAAGAAGGGTCAGACCAGATTATTCAGGGTTTAGCCAAAAACCTCTTGGTCACCTTCTGACATAGAGCTGGTACATGCCCTCTGGTAAACAGCTTCCAGTGCTTGACTATCCTCACATTGGAAAAATTTCTCCCTATACGTAGCCTGCCCTTCTCTTGTTTCAACCCATTAATTCTTGTCCCTGTGTCTTGTACCACAGACATGAGACTGATTCAATATTGGTGGGAACAGTGCAGTGCTGTTGCCTGCTCCCCCCAAGACCTTCCTATCTCCAACTTGCTGCCCACCAAGACCTTTCCCACAGGGTTTCTCCCAGCCAGGCAGCCCAAAGCCTGTACCATTGCCAAGATTAATTTACTCAGGGGCAGAAACTGGCATTTGTTGTTGTGGGGTTTCACGAATTTCCTGCCAATATGTGCTCTCCTTCTCCTCGAACCCTTTCCCTGATCACAGAGACCTGGAGACCTTTTCAGCAAAGACTCGGTGCAGAAGGCATTGAGTCCCTCAGCCCCAGAACACCCTCCCCATTCAGCAACAGCCACGCATTTTCCTTTCTGAGTCTTCGTCTCTAACTCAGTGATCAAAGTCTTCTTTTTGCACTTGACTTTCCTCCCAACCATCAACTCCAGGTGAGCTTTGCCTTCCTTTCAAACATGTCCCCACAACAAAGGCAATGTGTGCAGGTTCCTTCTTTGCAGCCTGTCCTTGCTGTCACCTCTTGGTAGCTGCTTCTTGGTCCCTGTTAATCCTCCGATCCAGTGCTGGCCTTGCCCTGCTGCTCCACACATGGTCCTACAGCTCCACAGTGCAGGCACAGCACAGGACAGGGTCTGTTCACAGGGGTGGGGACAATTATCATCCCAATGATAGCCTTCAGTTCAAGGTCCCCCATGGCCCTTCTACTTTTGCAGCCTTCCCCAGCACCTGACCCCTGCCCAGCCTCAACTACATCCCACACTGTGATTTGCAGACAGCCCTGATCTGGGCCAGGAGAGAAGCTGGGTAGGGCTTTTCAACATTCTCAACATTCCCCCAACACAGTCAAGCAGGAGCATGGAGATGGTCTCACAGCAAGACTCCTCCATAAAGCTGTAGTGAGCAGCTAATGTTGATGAGAAGGGCTGAGGGGTGACGAATGCCCTGGGACACCCTCCTGATCTGTTCATGCCTCAAACGGCACACTCCATCCTCACCTCTCTTGCATTCTCAGCTCCTGTCCATGAGCCCTGGTTCTGCACTACAAACCCCCATGATCACTAAAACCTATACACTGATGGTCTCTCCTGAGAACTTTCCATTACAGTTCAGCTCCCTCCAAACTCACCCTCATCCCACAGCCCCATATCCTCTCAAGGACACAGAAGCTCCTTGGGGAGGAGACAGAGTGGTCAGTTCCAGAGACAGGGGCCATTCATGGGACAAGGTAAAGGAGGTCAATGGGACCTAGTGGCCCCTGGTCTCCTCTCCTGGAGATCCTGAAAAGTCTTCAGATCCTTCCATGCCATCTCCTTCCCCTCAGAGCAGCATCAGAACCCTGACCCTGGGGTTCCCCATGTCCGTTCTGCTTTCCCAGGGACAGAGAAGCTTGCCCCAGACTACTGCAGCCAAGAAAGTGTTCCCATTTCCCATTCATTCCTGCCCTGGTGAGGATGGTTCTCAGACAAAGAAGTTGCTGCAAGTTCATTTCTTCTACTTAAAGACACAGAGACCCTGGCTCCCTATTAACACAAACTCTCTGGGCCACACAAAACAAGCAGACACTTCATGTTTGCACCTCTAGTTGAGACAGATGCCAGGCCGCCATCTAAGAAAGAGATCTGCACCAAAAAAGTTAAAAAAAAAAAAAAAAAGGAAAGACATGCTTGTCATCTCAAACCATACACTGGGAATCCTTTCCAGAGGGACGCAGGCAGTCTGTCAGTCTATGGCTGCTGAAAAATGTCTCATCGGTTTCTTCAAGGCAACCTTGAGCTCCTCATTCCTCATGCTGTAGGTGAGGGTGTTCAGTGTTTGAGGTACCACTGCTTACACAACAGCCATCACCAAATCCAGGGATGTGGAGGAGATGGAGGTGGGGCTTCAGGTAGGCAAACATGGCAGTGCTGATGAACAGGAACACCATGACCAGGTGAGAGACACACATGGGAAAAACCCTGGGCCATCTCTACTCAGAGGGGATCCTCAGCTGAAGATCTGCACATAAGAGAATGAAAACAAAAAAACCTGAAGTCCACAAAGATACTGACCACAACTACCACAACTTTGCTGAGGTAGGATTCTGAGAAGGAGAGCTTTCAGGATCTGGGGAACTTCACAGAAGAACTGTTCTACAGCATTGCCCTTGCAGTGGGGTATTGAAAATGTATTGGCCGTGTGCAGCAGAGCATAAAGGACACCACAGCCTTAGGTAGTGTAGGCACTGCGCCTGGAAGATGCCCTTTTACTGAAGAGCTGCTATTGGACAGGCCACATCTCACACAGTGTTGTTCAAGGGTCAGACACAAAAGGATCAAGCCTCAAGACAAGGAGTATGAGCTAAGAAAATTACCTATAAACAGGATTATCACAGGAGAAAAAAGCAGACTCCTGGACTAAGGTAAACCCTCGGAAATGTGCAGAGAAGTGGAGGCAAGTTATTGTTTGTGAAACAGTGTCCATTCATCCAGCTTCCTCAGGGCATCCTTGAGCTCCTGGTTCCTCATGCTGTAGATGAGGGGGTTCACTGCTGGAGGCACCACCGAGTACAGAACTGACACCACCAGATCCAGGGATGGGGAGGAGATGGAGGGGGGCTTCAGGTAGGCAAAAATGCCAGTGCTGACAAACAGGGAGACCACAGCCAGGTGAGGGAGGCACATGGAAAAGGCTTTGTGCCGTCCCTGCTCAGAGGGGATCCTCAGCACAGCCCTGAAGATCTGCACATAGGACACCACCATGAAAACAAAACACCCAAATGCTAAACAGATGCTAACTACAATAAGCTCAACTTCCCTGAGGTAGGCATCTGAGCAGGAGAGCTTGAGGATCTGGGGGACTTCACAGAAGAACTGGTCCACAGCATTGCCCTGGCAGAGTGGTATTGAAAATGTGTTGGCCGTGTGCAGGGCAGCATAGAGAAACCCAGAGCCCCAGGCAGCTGCTGCCATGTGGACACAAGCTCTGCTGCCCAGGAGGGTCCCATAGTGCAGGGGTTTGCAGATGGCCACGTAGCGGTCATAGGCCATGACGGTGAGAAGACAATACTCTGCTGTGATAAAGAAAAGAAAGAACCAGAGCTGGGCAGCACATCCCAAGTAGGAGATGGCCCTGGTGTTCCAGAGGGAACTGGCCATATATCTGGGGAGAGTGGTGGAGATGGAGCCCAGGTCAAGGAGAGAAAGGTTGAGGAGGAAGAAGTACATGGGGGTGTGCAGGTGGTGGTCACAGGCTATGGCTGTGGTGATGAGGCCGTTGCCCAGGAGGGCAGCCAGGTAGGGGCCCAGAAAGAGCCCAAAGGTCAAGAGCTGCAGATCCTGCCTGTCTGTAAATGCCAGGAGGAGGAACTCAGTGATGAAGCTGCTGTTGGACATTTTCTTCCCCTTGGCATGGAGACCTGTCCATGGAAGGAAAGACAGTGAGATGTGTGGGTTAACTTCTGTCAAAAAAACAAAAAAAAACAAACAAAAAAATTGCTCCTAGAGACTCACCAAGCTGCTTCTCCCCTTTCAGGAAGACTTTTGGAAGGTCCTTTTTGTACACTCTGCTTGGTGCTGCCTGACAGTCCATGAGAGAGCAGTGAGCTCTGCAGGATTCTGTCCTACCCTACAGCAATGGGTAAGTAGGAACACGGGGTGATCTCAGATTAAATCCACTTGTCATACCAGAGAGCTCTCCAGCATTGTCATTCCCAATAAACTTGACTGCAGAGTAGAGTTGAGGGGTTCTTGTTTTTGTTCTGTTCTAGTTTCCCCACCACACCTGGGATGATGGGGAATCCCACCATGTAGCGCTGATATGACTTCTCCAAGGGGCTCCTAGAAAACACAGAGATGCCGTGGAAGAGCAGGGCAGGCCCCAAAGCGCTGAATATGAGGGGATTTGGATGCTTTTTCTCCATGGATACACCTGCATGACAGGACACGCAGCATCACTGTCAGCTGCAGCTGGATCCTCACCCACTACCACAGAGAAATGAAGGGGATGAACAAAGGCAGCAGGAGCAGGAGAGGAACATGCCAAGGTTCTCCTACCAAGAGAGTCATGACAGGCAGATGCAGTCAGACACTTGAGCTGCTGGGAAGGCAACTCAGGACTGTGTCCCTGTGATATTAAGGGGTTGGGACTCTACTGTGTAGGAAAGGAGACCAGGGAGTTGCTCCAGGGAAGGCATCTGCACTGCAGGGGATGGAAGGGAGGTGCCTGAATCCCCCTTCCCATATCATTTCAGGTAGCCGCTTCTTCTCCCTCCCTGCCCATGTCTCTGCCACCTGGAGATGTCCCTGCTGAGGGCTGTTCCTTTGACCGCATATTTCAGAGAATCCATCCCACCCACTGTGTGCTCAGCTCTGCCCTGCAGACACCTTCTGCAACAGGGCACTGCCCAGGGACATCTCTGTGTGTGCAAGGGCAGAAGAGCAGCTCAGACAAGTGCTAGCAAGAACTGGGGTCTCATTGCCTTCTGCAGAGTGGAGAAGTAAATTCCCATCTCCCACTACCCATCCAGCCAACCAAGAGTGGAAAACTCAAAGCACAGACTCTTTCTCTTTCAGGTAAATTCTGCCTCTGTGTACTTCTTCAAAAGGATCCTCCGCAGCCAGCCTGGGGGTGATCTGGAGCACGTCCTCCTGGATATCAAAGGATCCTTGGGAGCCTCCCTGACAGATCATGTCAGACATGGGCTATGCCAGATTTAGGAGGCTGCTCCATGAAACCTCTCTGCATTATACTACGTCCAGAGAGACACAGCATGTCCTGTCCCACTCATGGTGCAGCAGGAAAGCCCTGCGCCACAAGTTGTCCTTCTCCTCTACACGAGAAGAACTGCAAGAATTGTACTTACAGATCCCATAGGTTGTGGGTGATGCCAGCTTTTGCAGATCCCTCCAGCACCTGCACATTCAGTACCCTGCAGCCAGCTACTTATGTGTCAAATGCTGTGAAGGTTTCTCCAACAGTGAGATCTCAGCATCCTCCCACTCATCACTACCTTTAACATCTCTCTGTCTTCTCTCCTCTCCCCTTGCTGCCTGCAAGCAGTGTCCTCAGCCCCGCTGAGGAGCTGCTCCTGGGCAGAGCTGTCTCTCTGCCCGCTTGCCATGAACTCCCTCCATCCCAGGAGCCCAGCCCAGCTCAGCAGCAGAGGACCAGCCCAAGCTGACACTTTCTTTTCCCCTCTGGACTCTCTGCAGATGTCCCTGGGGCTCCAAGGGAACCTGCTGTGAAACAGGCTGAAGTCATCACTGGTGTTCCCTCTCTTAGCATAGGAGAGACACTCATTTCCAGTTGTGTCATTTCTCCTGTTGGGAAAAGGTGTTTTAGTCTGGGTTGGTAGTTGTAAGGCAAGAAAGATATTCAGCTTACATTTGTCCGTGTCATGTCTCTGCTCTGTGGCAAAACCTTGGCAAAGACGGGGTCTTGGAAACAAGATTTCCTTATGGCAAGTGTAAGCTTGCCTGGTTCCACAGCTGAAGTGCCCAAATGTGCAGCAATATTCTCAGCCATGGGTACAGACAGGATGAGCTGGAGCTCTTGCTGTTGGAGAAAGAGCTGAAGGAATAAACTGCCAAGGTGTGGTGGCAGAGCTGAGTACAGCTGCTGTTCAAGGACAGCATCCTCCAAGCACAGCGAGAGTCCAGACTGAAAGGCTACACCTGAAAGGCAATTCAAGGGCACCATAGTGTATATTTACTACTTTGGGAAGGGTAAGAATCATAGGATGTTGTGAGCTGGAAGGGACCCACAAGGATCATCCAGTCCAACTCCTGTCCCTGCACAGGACAATCCCAACATTCACACCATGTCCCTGAGGGCCTTGGCCAAATGCTGCTGGAATCTTGTCAGGCTTGGTGCCATGAGCACTCCCCTGGGGAGCCTGTTCCAGTGCTCCACCACCCTCTGCCTCAAGAACCTTTTCCTCATGGCCAACCTCACCCTCCCCTGCCACATCTTCCTGCCATTTCCTCTGCTCCTGGCATTTGTTGGTGGCCAGAGAGAAGAGATCAGCATCTGCTCCTCCTCTTCCCCTTGGGAGGAAGTTCTAGACCACGATGAGAGTACTTTTTGATAGACATCACACTGAGAAGAGTAGACACTGTGCTGGAGGGCAGGGTTTCCATCCCAAGGGACCTAACCAGGCTGGAGGGATGGGCCAATAGGTACCTCAGGATAGCAAATAATTCCTGACCTTGAGGAGAACAAAGCCCATGCAATGGTAGGGACCAGGGACTGCCCAGGTGGGTAGCAGCTCTGCAGGAAGGGCTCTAGAGGTCCTTGGGTTCCATTCAGTAAAACATGAGCCATCAGAAAATAAGGCCAAAAGCTTCCTGGGTTGTATGAGCAGGAGCACAGCCAGTCTGCTCAGCAGTTTTACACCATATTCAGAATACATCTCTAGGTTTTGGCACCCCACCATGCCAGAGAGACCTTGACAAATTTGAGCCGGTTCAGTGGAGGGCCACCAAAGACAGTAGAGTGAGAGAAGAGTGAAGAGGCTTAGAGAGCTGGGCTTGTTCAGCCTGAAAGAGAGATTTTGGGGGGAACAGGTAGCAACATTGCACAGTGACTAGAAAGACTGAGTCAGACTTAGATCCATGGTAGAAGGTGAACAACAGGTAGAAGAACAAGAGGCAATGGGCTGAAGCAAGAGACTCTCGGTGAGATATAGGGAGAAACTTTTTCAGCCTGAGGATAGTCAAGTACTGGAAACTGTTTCCCAGGGACTGTGCACCAGCTCGATCCTGGAGAGGGATCAAGATGTGTTTAACAAAGCCCTGAGTATTCAGGACTGAGCCTACTTTGAGCAGGAGGCTAGTCAAGACACCTTCTGAGGTCCCTTCCAACCTGAATGATACTGTCCTCCCCCTTCATGTTTTTAAATTAGGGAAAGCTCTCAGGTTCTTCCTGACCACACAAGTAATTCACATCAGGCACAGGGCTGATTCACAGGTACCCCCAAAACAGCCCTGACCAGGTAACTTTCTTCCCTTTTCATCTGCCCAAAACCAAGTTCTTCTCTTCTATAATCCTAATTCCCTCCAAAAATAACAGTCAACCTTGTCAATCCTTTCAGAGTAGGTTGTTTAATAAATGTCACCATCCACGTACAGACTCTACAAATGAACCAGGCATGGAAGCCATCACTGCAGAAACAGAGATGAGGCATTTGTTCAGCTCCTCCAACCCAGGAACTGGTGTGCTGTGCCTCCTGAGATTCCCAGGAACACCTAAGCTTTTTGTCCAGACAAGTGTGATTCTATTTTAGGTATCTGGGCCCATGGCTCCTGGCCCATGTGGTGTTTTAGGCTGTGAAGATAACCAAAACCAACATTTTGACTAGGCTAGTTTGATTTTTCATGCTGAAATGCAGAGCAGATGAAGGGAGCTCAGAGCTCCCAGGCTCTCTTCTGCACAGTTAAGACTTCAGAGACTGGAAATACAGGTAATTGTGTGCACCATATGAAGCATTGTTTACACCACATAAAAATTCTGGCTTCCTTTGTTCCTTCACACTAACCTTTGGTGCTTTGGTCTTCTTTGGCTCAAAGAAGAAACAATTTCTCTATTCCACCTCCCCCTCCTCCCAAAAATAAGTAGAAAAGACATAGAGTTGGGATGATTTAGGGGCAAAGCTGTCCAAGAGGTGTAATCTTCAAATGGCAACAAAGAGGTAGCAGTGAGAGAAAACACAGTGTCCTGAGAATATCATGCCAGAGGCTCGCTACTTGAGAAATTACAGCTATTTTGTCAAGTAAGAAAAACTGTCAGGAAAGAAATGACAGAGATTTAATTCATCATCATCAAGATTAAGAAGCAGCTCCTTTACAGCACTACCCTGTTACCTTTATTCACGATCGCATCATTAACTCCAATACATCCTTGAGAGCTTGTTTATTTTACCTTGGCTCCAAAGCTCAGCCTGCTCGTCTCTTGAAAGGACTACCTCAAATCTCTGCAACCCAAATCTGTCCAACCTTTTGTCATCCACACTCCTTTAACCCAGGATGCTTTTCCCCATCACTTCAGCATGCTGCTGGGTCTCTGTTTTGAGCTGGGTGATGTCAGGGTGCCCCCTTGCACGGCTGTCCCTACAAAAGTCTTTTCTGAGGGCTGATCCCACTTGTATCACCTCATGTTATGTTTGGCTCCATACTCCTTCTGCAGAGCTCCATTGGATGGGTAGATTTCCAGTTTCTTTCATGTCCATTCACTTTCATAACCCGTTTGTGTTGTGTGCATATCAAATATTGTCTGAAGCAACATAACTTCACCCATTTCGAATTGCAGGCAGAGTTATTTTTTCCTCTTGGAATAGACTTTCTGAAAAAACTGCTCCATATCTGGAAATGCACTTCAATTCTGCATGTACTGGTGGACTGAAAAAGGAAAATACCATGCT